TGATGCATTAAAAGTGAGATATTTTCATCAAAACTTAATGAAATTTGTTGGAGTCAGCGTTTCTCTGCCCCTGTGCATGCCTTTAGGCAAATTGATTCCTCAACGAGGTCTTTTAAGATTGTATCTTGGACTGGCTAAGGGTTACCAAAAAAAAAAGGATAGAGGCTCAAATAAGTGTATCCCAAACCCCTTTTTCATTTCTCTTATCTCCATTGTCCTATTCTCGACGATTTTCTAATCATGACATTCAACTACTAAAATTTTGTTGGATTTCTGTAAGAGGTGAAAGCCTAATGTTTAGGCGAAGATCTTCCCGAGAGGAATTTGAATTGTATTTTTGGTGGTCGTTGATAATGCATTTTGTTTGCCCGAAATTTTGCTTGAGATTTTTATTTTGATATCCCAGCGGGTCCCTTTTTGTATTTTGCTTTTGGTTTTTTTTTGTGTGCATTTTGACCGATGAACATTTTTATTTGGATTTCTACTCCTTCGGTTAGATATGGAAAATGATGTATGTAGAATGTATTTTATTTTTCTTTAATAATTGAATGTCAAGGAAAATAGTTGAGTAACTACCCAGCCCCGATTTTTTGCGGGTATAGAAAAAATCTCCTTTTCATAAAGTCTTAGGCTCAAATTGGGTGACTAGGGGTATCTCCTTTGTGTTTGGGATTTCCGAAAAAACGCCTTGCTTCATCAGAAAAAATTGCTTAAGGACTTGCACTATTTTAGGTCTTACATTTGCATCATCCTCCATTTCATATAAATTACTGAATCAAATATCTCATGTTAATGCATGAATTAGTTTGTTTTTATTTTGTTTATCTTTGGTGAATGAGGGTTGTGGAATGTAGTATGTGATAGAAAATTTGCATGATCAATGCATTAGTACATAGTCTTTAAAATGATGTTCATGAGAAAATAAAAATTTATTCATGATAAGATAAACATGAGTGCCCATGACTCTAAAGCCTTGAGGAGAGCAATAGAGTTGAATTACACCATTTGGGTAGTACTAGGATAACTACTTCGGGTGATTTAAGCATTTCTCAAATCAAAACATTTCCCTGGAAGTGGATCAATCTTGAGTTAATCAGATATTGCATTTTGCTCTTCAACTGATCACAATCCTTTGTGAAATGACCAATTGCCCCAGTATGATATTCGCAGCTAGCATCCGGGTTGAATCCTTATGGATATGGGGGGTCTACCCTCTTGGAAGGGATAGGAGTCAATAATGATCTTTGGAAAAGTTGCGGCAACAATTCAGCATATGACATTGGGATTGGATCATAGAAACTCTTCCTCTTTCGCTTTCGGGACCGCCTCTCGATACCATTTGTAAAGGTATAACATGATGTTTGTGGAAAATAAGGTGTTTGAGGTTGATTGAGGATTTCTGTGAATGAGGTTTCCTCTTCCATATCTTCACTTGCATGATCACTTTGAATAACCTTGTTGGCGAAGCTTTTCTTTATTTTTCCGTTCCCGAAGCGATTCTCAATTCTCTCCCCTATTCTTATAATCTGGCGGAAATCTGAATGGAAATTTCCAACCATCCGATCAAAGAAGGGTGGTTGCAGGGTATTGATAAACATTGAGACACTTTCCTCATCAGACAATTTGGGCTTCACCTGAGCAGCCAACCCTGCCCATCTTTGGACATACTCCCTGAAGGTCTCGTTACTCCTCTTGGACAATTGCTTGAGTAGCGTCATATCAGGATCTTGATCAATATTATAATTGTATTGTTTAAGGAAAGCGTTACACAAATCCTTGAAACATTTGATATGAGAACGTTCGAGACGCGTGTACCAAGTGATAGAAGCTCCTGTAAGGCTCTCCTGGAAGGCATGGATAAGCAAATTGTCATCCTCAGTATAGGGAGTCATTTTCCTTGCATACATGATGAGGTGATCCTTAGGACAAGAGGTTCCTTTGTATTTTTCAAATTCAGGCATCTTGAACTTCGGTGGAAATGTCACACTTGGGACCAAGCACAAGCTCGTGACATCCTTCAGACCAGAGGAACTTGCTTCCTCGATAACTTTAATTCTTGCTTCGATCGCCTTAATTTTCTCCAAATCTTGAGGATTTGCAACATTGTTGGGAGCAGAGGAGTGATTGGGATTATCATGGACAATTGGGGTCTCCATGTGACCGGAAATTTACAAATTTGTCTTTGAAGATTATGTATCAATACAAATAGTTGGCTTATCTTGTGCTAGCTCAAGAGCAAGATCTTTTCTTCCTCCTTAGACCGTTTCAGCTGAGTCCAATAACATCACCTTTAACATCCATTTTCCACTCGTGAGTGTCCTTGATATAATATGAAATGTATGCAAAATTGAATTTTCACTTATATATGAGGTGCATGAATGGTTGACATATATGAATGACACGAGGATATAATGTTTGGGTTCATAGAATATGCACCCATGTTATTATTTTTCTGTTTATGATAATATATGAAATGACTCCATTTTTTATTTTTTACTTTTATGCATGCATGCGCAAGAGATGAAACTCGTGATGATATATATATTTTTTATGTATGTATGGAGGAATATTTGATTGTTGGTTTTTCAGTGTTGAATGTATGTATGAATGTGTGAATGATATCTCTTATTTTTTATTATATATACTTTTTTTATGAATGTTATGATGGTGATTTTTTTCGATGAATGATTGGATGAGTTGCACTAATGAATGTATGAATGGTATGCATGAGCATGATGCACTGATGTTAATGTATTTTGTACGCCCGTAGGGCGTGATAGACCTTAATTAGGGGAATGTAACCTTAATTTACAATATAGCAACATGTCATGGTAGATTTGACACTTATTATACTGTTAAGGCAAGCTTGGAGTTAAACGGTAAAATCCCGAGCTTATTGAGATATTGGAAAATTGATCCCTAGGGCGCTTAGCCAACGATAGGGAATGAAAATTATCCCAAGGGCGCGTAGCCCACAGTAGGGAATAGAAATTGTCCCTAGGGTGCTTAGCCCATGGTAGAGAATGAAAATTATCCCTTAGGACGCCTAGCCCCTGGCAAGGAATGAAAATTATTTAGTCGTCCTCGTGCAACAAAGACATCAAAGTGCAATGTCATCCTTAAAACACTCAGGCATGAATATTTTTATGAGGGACATAAGTCCCAAATTATGAATGATGATGGATAAAATTTAGGTTATGCTTCCGGTGTCCTAAACAAGGTGCACTTACAATGTTTTGGATAATCTAAAGGTCACAACCCTATGGTGAGGTACTAGATGTCAATTAAAGTGAACTCGAGAAAAGAAAGTTTTAGACTTATAGGTTACCAGATTGCATCCAATCCCTAAAGAAAGGAAACCCAAAATATTGCAAGTTATAAACAGGAGAATTCTAGCCCCTCAAGCGTATAACTCGCAATATTTGGTAATAATCTGGGTGGTCCATCATGCTAATGCCAGTGAGATAAAATCTAACACCAGGCAGAGCGGATGTCCCCCTTATAACAAACTTACTCTCTAACACCCGGGTCTAGGGCATATGTGTGTGCAAAACTCAAGTGTGCAATGTTAGTGTGTGGGGAAGCGTACAAACCTTCTCTTACAAATAAAATAAACCCACACCACAAAAACTATAATACAACAATTACCAAAGATAAGTGAATAAAGAAATATAATAAATAAAAATTTCTTAACATAAACAATAAGAAAAAAAAGGGTATTAAATCCATGTAACTAGCGACTCTGGGCCTGACCCTCTTATGGGTGTCCCCAGCGGAGTCGCCAGCTGTCGCGACCAGATTTTCGGTTGGAAGACCGGTCATGCGACTTAGGGAGAGGTGAACTCGATTTCTACCTCTTCCAATTGTTTTGGAGTCGCCACTACGTTTTTTGCGGTTAAAACGTAGAAAACTCTAAATTACGCCCGATTAGGATAATTTGGTCATTTAACAGAGATTCTGAGCTCGGGAGTCGATTACGGATCGGGGAAGGTGTTAGCACCCCGTCCGCCCGTATTAAAACGGTACCCTTGCTAATAACATGGACTTTTATACCCTTAAAATAATCTATTAAAATTCAGTAAATAAAAACAAAATGTTTTATTTTTTATTGTTGTGCCTGACAAGAGCTCATCTTGCTCCTACGTATCCCTAGGTGCAATAGGAAAATCAAGGCTACGTAGTTCTGGTTTGAAAATTAATTGGTGTTGGTTTAGTTTGTTTGAAAAGTTGATGTAAATTGTATTCCCTTTAAGAAAAGATGAAGCAGCAGAAACTAATGTCCGCACCATATCAAATCTTTAAAGAGATTTTGAAAGTAATTAAACTACTGTGTTAAAATTTATTTATCTTTAAGATATATATTATTTTTGAAATAATTGAAATGAATTGTTTGAAATTTATTTATTTTTAAGATAGATGAAGTAGCAAGACTAATGTCCGCGCCGCATCAAATCTCAAGGAATATTTTGAAGTGGTTTAAAATATATTATTGAAATTTATTCACCTTTAAGATAGATGAAGTAGCAAGACTAATGCCCGCGCCGCATCATATCTTAAAGAGATTTGAAATAGTTTTAAAATTATTCACCTTTAAGATAGATGAAGTAGCAAAACTAATGCACGCGCCGCATCATATCTTAAAGAGATTTGAAATAGTTTAAAATATATTATTGAAATTATTCACCTTCAAGATAGATGAAGTAGCAAGACTAATGCCCGTGCCGCATCATATCTTAAAGAGATTTGAAATAGTTTAAAAATATATTATTGAAATTATTCACCTTTAAGATAGATGAAGCAGCAAGACTAATGCCCGCGCCGCATCATATCTTAAAGAGATTTGAAATAGTTTAAAAATATGTTATTAAAATTATTCACCTTTAAGATAGATGAAGTAGCAAGACTAATGTCCGCGCCGCATCAGGCTTTCCTACGGCGAGGAGGCCGGCAGTGACGGCTCACAATTCTCTTCTGCCTCGATTCGAAGGTTAAGCAGCTCGTAGTTTTGACACTCGATGTATGTTGGAATGGATTCGGTAACCAACTCTAACCCTTTCTGTTTATGTATTAATCCCTATATTGTTTGTTTTTGGCTTATCTATTTTTGTGCGATTATGCTTCGTATCTTGATTCTATGCGTGTGGTTAGGCGAGCTTGAACATGCAACTGAGTTTCATAAGATTTGATTCACCATACAATATTACGACAATGATCATGTAATTCCCCATAACATAGCGTATTTAAGGTAACACATATATCTCCTAGGAATGTAAGTTTTCATTACATTATTAACACAGGTTTCATGCAGAACATCTTTTATTATTAACAAACTACGGATGTGTTACCTTCGGTGCTTGACCTTTACCTTGCTTTCGAAGATGCTAGGATTACTGGATTTGGATTCTTCTGCTTGTTGTGATGAATGGGTTTGTCAAATCAGGTTGTATTGACTGCTTGTGTGTGTAGAATAGCTGATCTCTGATTGCTATGGTATGTGGTTTACGCGTATGTTATGTTTTTTATTGTGGTGACTTGCATAGTATGTGGGATATGTGTCATGATGCTCTCTGCTTGATGTATGTAGTATGTGAGGAAGGTTTATGCTTTTTGTGTGTGTGTTCTAATGGGATTGTATGGTGGTGTGTAGTATCATTCCTGCCTGCTTCAGTGTAAGGTGTATTGATGGATGATTTGTTGTGGTGTTTTGTGATATGATGGAATTGTGAGTATATGTTGTGTTGTAGATGCATATATATGTATTCCGATGAGATATGTGTGATAGGTAGATGAATGATATATTGTTTTTTGACTTGTTATATGATCTGGGTATGATGTATAGCAGCTGTTCTGACATGTGTGTTAGGTGGGAGTGTCTGTGAAGTATATCATCTCTCTCTGAGTATTGTGATATATGGTTATATATGTGACTTGCTCTCTGAATGTTATCCCCCCAATATATGATGGCTGATTTGTTCTTATAGCTGTAAAAAGCCTTTTGAGTTGCACACTCCAGACTCAGTAACATATCATGACTCTTTGTTTCTTTCTGATTTATTGCATTAAGGCTGCACATGAATGTTGCCCTTTATGATGATTATGAATGTGTAACTGAAAAATATTTCTGATTTTGCATCGTCTGAATTCTTTTTATGCCTACTTTCTTTTCTCTTTGTTTCATTAATGCTTCAATTGGTAACTGTCTGAAAACATATATTTGTTATGCCTTGTAATATGAACTCTGATCTGCACCTTTTTTCTTATTGGAAAATCTTGAATTTTGTGTTGACTCTAAAACGGTGGTGCAGGAGCAGAAGCTGATGGGTCATGATTATTATCACCAAAGCTTATGCTGAGTCCTTGGCTAGAGTGGCTCTTACACCAAGCTACAGTGATCAAAATTTGTTGGATAGGACTATTTTGTAGACATTGGAGACTGAATTTTGTGTTGAAAGGGCAAGGTTTAAACGCAAGCATTTTTGATTATCTAGAACATGAGGAATATGACACATTTATTGAGCTCTCACTGAAACAAGAAACTATAATTGTCATTCTTTTGTTTGGATTTTTTTGTTTGACCAACCTGTTTGAGTTTTTATACCAGCTATACGACTCTATAACTTTGTAACCATGAGCAATTCATTTGTAAAAAGGTTTGAGGTTTTCCTCAGAGGTTATATACTATACCCCATGAGAGCTAGTTATGTCAATCAAAGCAAGGGAGTTAATTATATATTTCATCTTATACTTTCATACCATCTCCTTTCTCCTCACATCTTACTTGCTCAAAAAACGTCTCTATGCTATACTATCAAGTGTTTGGCAAACAACTAAGACAACAAAACACATTATTTAGCACCAGCTATTGAAATAATGTGAGGGAAAGGTGCTCCCACAGTTAAAGAAATAGGTATAATTTCAATCACCATAATAAACTTGGGTCGGACAAAATTGGGTGTGGTGTTCACACAAACAAGTCTAACACTCAACTCTATTTTTTCTCTTTATTTCTGCTCATAATGTTTTTTGCTATCTTCTCTCTCGTCATTTTCTTATTCAAACCAAATAAAGCATAAGAGAATAAAGCTATTATTTCTCTTTCACTTTTATTTTCTTGGATAAAAGGAGGTTAAGTGCGAAAAATAAGTTAGTGAAAAGACATATAATTACTTTAAAAAATTAAACAATTTTATGTTATAATATTAATTATTCAGGAAAAACTTATTGATGAAAATTAAATACAGAATGACCAACGACAATGTTATATATATATATATATATATTTTGGAGGAACTAGATTTAAAAAAAAATATATGTCACTTATAAGTCTATAAACTCCATTTTTTTTTGTAAATGACATGACATGTTTTGCGAAAAACAAATTTTCATGATCATGTTGAATAATTTAATAATATAGTGAATATGTAATTTAAGAAACTTTATGATTGTTTCACTGAAACAGATATTCATCTGCTTCTTTGTATGTCTTACTTGAGTCTTGCTTTTGATATGACAAATTTGATTGAACTTGCAAAGTTATCTACATGATTTTTGTCCAACTGATTAGGTGATGTTTCATAACCAACTGGAGACTTACATCAATGATATACATAATAGTGTTGCATTTGCTTCTTTGAAGGGAATCCATAATTTTTCAGATAAGATGGTTAAAAGTAGAATATACATTATTTACCCATTAGTTTAACTTAGTTAATAATACCAATGTAGAAAAAGTTTATTTTAACTATTAAAATTGTGAAAAATAACTTATATAAGCAAGTGAGAGATGAATGAATAAATTATTGTCTAGTGACTTATATTTAATGATAGTGTTCAACAATATTAATAAAAAATTGATAGATCAATAATTTCAAAATATTAAATCATATAGAAATTAATTATGAAATTTGTAATTTATTTGATTAAATATATTTTAAATTTTATAATTTGGCTTTTACGTTTTCATCTTTCTTATAATTATGATATTTATTATTTTAATTTTTAATGTATTTTATACATCAGATCCTAGATTTGTCGCCGAGAATAACTTCAAAATTTGGTAATAGCCATTTATTTTATTCAACTGATTTTCTTAGCCCAATCTACATTCATGAATAAGCCATTGACTACAACATTCTGTATTATGTATGCACTTCTGTCTGAGTACAAATGCAATAACAATAGTTATTAATACATTGTGCATCACAACCTGGTTTGCACGGACATTGTCGCACATTCATGCATCGCCTTGCAATGACTGCGTCAACTATTACTGTCATCAAACCTGCAAATTTTAAAAAGTTATTGCAAAAGGGGAAATAAAAGTCAACAACATACTTTTCCCAAGACATAAATCAAGCTGATTATACTGTCCTCAAGCATAAGACTAAGCAGATTTAAAATTTGATTTACTCGTACAGCTCAACTTTAGGTATAAAACAAATGCAACAAATGGAAATCAAACTTAGGTTTTTGGATAGTTATTAAAAGCACTTTAAAATTAGACATGTATTGTAAGTACTGTGACTACTATTGTCTTTTGAACTAAATATGATGGTGAATTGTAACCACTCACACACAATAAAAGGATAAATGAATACCAGATAAAACGAGAAGCAGGAACACAAAGATATGTAATTGATGTGAAACTTTCACCATCTTTTCCCAAAGATTTTCTTTACGAAAGGCTTTCCTAAATGAGGTTTCCACACGGGTATTATTTCTCTTTGAATGGGATAGGAAGCCATGCTAGTATCAAATTTATATAAGATAAATAATAATACTTTTCATTTATAATATAAAAAAGCATAAAAATTTATATATATATATATATATATATATATATATATATATAAGTGTAAAAATTTATACACGGTCAATGCGTCATCTTAACTCAACTATATTACTTTTATTTAAGAGTTAATGATAATTAAATATAAATGATTGATAATGTAGTAACTGTCAATCAATTTATAAATCTTTTTCTCATAAAAAACCACTATTCTTTTAATGTTTATATTATTATATTCGAAAAATAATGTAATAACATACTACTTTATTATTACTTCATTCATTTCTTTTTATATTTTTATGTTTTAATATTTAATAAAATTTTAAATCATTCAATATAATATAATGTAAAGTAAGTGCTAATGACAAGTGGCAGAACATGACCAAAGAAATGAAGAAGATAACAAATGAGATACTAGGTTACTTTAAGGATTTTGGTCAACTTTAAGATCCTTTTGCGGGATTTAATGTTGAGTAGTAAAATATCAATAAGGAAGTAAGATTCATTTATCCGAGATAAAAATATTGCATTGGATGAATAAATATATTAGACAAATTAGTATTAGAAATAAATGTATTAGAGAGAAAGTTAAAGTAAATCTTATTGTAGAATTATGTCTTGGTGATTTGAATATGTGTGGAGGTGGTCATTAGAAACCACAATAAATAAAATAGATCAAATCGAGGAATAGTACAACAACAGAAAACAATAGGTGGAACAACTACAAAAAAATAGTGATTAATGTTTTGTCAACGAACTTTATTTATAATAGAGGTGGTGTTGTTCAACCCATGTAGCTGCCTCCACCTAGTGGGATTACGACTTAGTTATTATTGTAATAAAAATAATATAATATTTACTTATTTCAAATTTATTATTTTATAAAAAATATATGATATTATATTTATTTTAATATATTCATTTCATATTCATATTATTTTACTGTTTATCATTACTAACATTGACATTGCCTTGATTGTGGCCAGTGTTTTTTTTAATAAATTTAACGTTATAAATTAATACTTTCATAACTAAAAATTTATTTATTGTAATTAATAGCTTAATCTTTATTTATGTTATGATTATTTTGATTGTTTTTAATGCTACTTTTAAAATATATTTTTTAATATTTATCATCACATATATTTTTACTATAATTTTTTAAACTTTTAATACCTTGTGATAAAGGCTAAAACATATTAAAATAAAAAAAAACTATAAAAATTAATAACAATATTTAAAAATAACATGCCACACAAATAAATAAAAGTTACTTATCCACTATAAAAATCAATAGCAATATGAATTTTACACAGGTCATGTTTGGGGATAGAAAAGTATGAATTTTAAACACATAAGGTTTATAGACCTGGACACTATTAATTTCTAACATGTCGGACTCTAGGACGTGGAAAGTATTATTTTAAATATGTCAGGCCTATAGAACTAGGAAGTGTGATTTTTGAACTCGCCAAGCTTAGGAAGATGGAAAGTATGAATTTTAAACATGCCACACACAAAGACCTAGAAAGTATGCTTTTTGGAAGCGTCAGACTCTTGGAGCTGAAAAGTAAGAATTTGAAACATGCCGGTCTTAGGAACTTGGGAAGTATGAATTTGAAAAATTTCGAACTTAGGGGCATTGATAGTATGAATTAAACCTCGTGAGGCTCGGGGGCCTAGAAAGTATGAATATTAAGTAGGAAAGGCTCGAGGAGTTTGAAAGTATGATTTTGAAACATGTTAGGCTAGAGGACCTAGAAACCAAGATTTTGATACACATTAGGTACGATGACTTAAAAATAATGATTTTTAAATACATCAGGCTCGGGGACCTGGAAAGCATGATTTAGAAACATATCAGACCCAAGGATATGGAAAGTATGATTTTGAAACATGTTAGGCTTAGGACATGGAAAACATAATTTTGAAACATGTCACACACATTGACATGGAAAGTATGATTTTGAAACATGTCAGACTCGGGAACCTGGAAATCATGATTTCAGAAACATGTCATGCACATGGATTTGTAAAGTAAGATTTAATGCAATTTAGGCATAAGGACCTAGTAATCCTAAATTTAAAAGACTTATGTTTGGTGGACAAGAGTGATTTAAGCACATCAGACGCGAGGACCTGGAAAGCAAGATTTAAAGCACATCAGGTTCTAGGACATAGAAAGCATGCATTTTGAAGCATTTAAAGTCATGATATGAATGCTTGAGAGTATATGTTATGTATGATGCAAGATGATGCTTGATATGCTTTGTATGATGAAAATGATGTCATGTATGAGTAGTGAATGAAGTGGAATGGAGGGTAATATGTGTGCATACAAATGTTTGTCATAAGGGTGTTCACTAAATTTTACCTATTTTTTCCTGAATAACTAGTGTAGGTACAATTTAGGAATTCTTTTTTTTATTACGATTCTAAGTCGCCTCATTAGGTTTTTGACTCTAAACCACTTTCTTTTTCGTATGTTGCCTAGGGGTTTTCAACCTATCATTTTTTTTTTTGCATTTTTGTTTGACTTTTTCTTGTGTACTCCCTCACGTAAAATGGTCCCAATTTGATACTCTGAATGTCATCCTTCTACTCGTGTTATAGGCTTAATCTATGGGGCCTTGGATAAGTTTACTTTAAAAATGCCCTAGGTTGAGATGACTTTCACCATTTGTCTGCTCTAATGCTCATTTTCCAAGCTCTTTCATGCACAAATA